TGTGTGTGTGTGGCTCTCACTGAAATACATTTCCAAATATTTTGCTTTCATGGCTTTCTTAGTCAAAAAGGTTCCCGACCCCTGCACTAACCAGTCGACCAGCGGCCACATTGAAGAGCAAAACTCAGAATCAACCGCCGAGACATCCAAAAAGCTCTGCTGGGCTGCATCGCTTGCATCTCTCACTGCGGGTGGTCAGAGGTTGAGGCTCAGCTAGGTGCTGCTTATGCTGCACCAGCTAACGACAACCAAGCTTCGGCTGACTACTGCTACATCTCAACGAATTGCGGAGTACCTCCAAATTCTGGGTGTCCCCCGCCTACTGCCCGGAGACGGCTGGGATAGGCTCCTGCTGTGACCCTTGTGAGGATAAGCAGATCAGAAAATGGATGGATGGATGGTATTCAATGTATTTTAATGGGATGCAAAATGAAAATTTTGCATTGCAAATTGCAATGTGAAACTGCTTATTTTAAGTCTTGCTTATTTAAAGTACACATATTTACCAGTAATTAGGGTCACTCACTGGCTACCCAAGCAAAATCTTTTTGCATCTGACCAGAATTTCAGTGCAATTTAAAACAGATAGCAACATGTAACCTGACACTCAAAATGACAATGAATAGCTTTACAGTATCTTAAAGAGGTAATTGTATTGAAGTGATTTTATTGAAGCGCTCATGTACTGTAGCTACAAAACAATGCCAAATCATTGGCACCAAATCCTACAATCTTATGGGATGATATTCATAATATTGAACTTGTCTTCTTTTCCTTTCGGCTTTTCCCCTCAGGGGTCACCACAGTGAATCAGTTGCCTCCATCTAACCCTGTTTTGTGTGTCCTCTTCTCTCGCATCAGTTACCTTCATGTCCTATTTCACTACATCCATAAACCTCTTTGGTATACCTCTCGGCCTCCTGCCTGGCAGTTCAAGACTCAGCATCCTTCTCCCAATACATTCACTATATCTCCTCTGGACATGTCCAAACCATCTCAGTCTGGCCTCTCTGTCTTTATCTCCCCAATCTCTGACATGAGTTGTCCCTCTGATGTATTCATTCCTGATCCTATCAAACCTGGTCACTCCCAAAGAGAACCTCAACATCTTCATCGCTGCAACCTCCAGCTCTGCCCCCTGTCTTATCTTCAATGGCACTGTCTCCAGTCCAAACTGCATGGCTGGTCTCACCAGAGTTTTATACACCTTTCCTTTCATCTTAGCTGAAACTCTTCTATCGCACGTCACACCTGACACTTTTCTCCAGCCGTTCCAGCCTGCCTGCACACGCTTCTTCACCTCTTTTCCACACTCTCAATTGCTCTGGACAGTTGACCCCAAGTACTTAAAATCCTCCACCGTCTTTATCTCTTCTCCCTGTAATGTCACTCTTGTATTTGGGTCCCTCTCATTCACACACATGTAGTCCATCTTGCTGCGACTGGCCTTCATTCCTCTCCTTTCCATGGCAAACCTCCACCTCTCCAGTTTCTCCTCAACCTGCTCCCTGTTCTCACTACAGTCCATCACCATAGCAAATAAGAAGGGGCTCAGAGCTGACCCCTGGTGAAGTCCCACCTCCACCTTGAATTCCTCCGTCACACCGACAGCACACCTCACCACTGTCTTACAGCCATCATACATGTCCTGCACTGCTCTAACGTACTTCTCTGTCACCCCAGACTTCCTCATACAATACCACAGTTCTTCTCTGGGCACCCTGTCATACGCTTTCTGCAGATCTACAATGACAATGCAGTTCCCTCTGGCCTTCTCTGTGCTTCTCTATCAACATCCTTAAAGCAAATACTGCATCTGTCATACTCTTTTTTTGGCATGAAACCATACGGCTTCTTGCAAATGCTCACTTATGCTCTTGGTCTAGCTTCAACTACTCTTTCCCAAAGTTTCACTGTATGGCTCATCAACTTTATTCCTCTGTAGTTACTACAACTGCACATGTCCCTTGTTCTTAAAAAGGGGCACTGGCACACTTCTCCTCCATTCCTCAGGTATCTTCTGACCATCTACTGGCCACTGCCACCTCTCCTAGACACTTCCATACCTCCATTGGTAAATCATCAGGCACGAGTGCCTTTCCACTCTTCATCCTCTTCAGTGCCCTTCTCACTTCATCCTTGCTAATCTTTGCTACTTCCTGGTCCACAACAGTCACCTCGTCTACTCTTTGTTCTTTCTCATTTTACTCATTCATCAATTCTTCAAAGTATTCTTTCCATCTTCCCATCACAATATTGGCACCTGTCAATACATTTCCATCTCTATCCTTAATTACCCTAACCTGCTGCACATCCTTACCATCTCTGTCTTGCCTACCTGTATAGATTAGTCTCTCCTTCCTTACTGTCCAACCTAGCATACAAGTCATCGTAGGCCTCTTGTTTGGCCTTCGCAACCTCTACTTTCACCGTGCGCTGCATCTCTCTGTACTCCTATCTACTCTCTTCAGTCCTCTTAGTGTCCCACTTCTTCTTAGCTAACCTCTTTCTCTCTATACACTCCTGCACCTCCTCATCCACCACCAAGTCTCCTTATCTACTTTCCTTCCAGATGATACACCAAGTACTTTTCTACCTGTCTCCCTGATCACATTAGCTGTAGTTGTCCAGCCATCTGGAAGCACCTCCTGACCACCCAGTGCTTGTCTCAACTCCTTCCTTAAACTCATGCGACACTCTTCCCTTTTCAGCTTCCACCATTTTGTCCTTTTGCTCTGTTCATCTTCCTCACCACCAGAAAGTTAAATGGAAAGGTTGCAAACATACTTGTCATGATTCTGTTTTTGTGAAGATTATGTTTGTTTTTTTTTCCACCTGTTCTTGTCATCTGGGTCCCTGGTGTCAACCAATCAGCTGCAGGACCAGAGGCCTGATCCCAAAGCCATCACCACTTGCTGTTCCAGCGGCACGCGGCCTGCAGCTGTCACCCATTCCTGTCCCGGCGGGGCGCGGTGGTACACTCGCCTGACTTGTGAGCGGGCAGCATTGGATCGGTTCCCACTCAGTGACAGTGTGGATGCGGATGTGAATGGTTGTTTGTCCCTACATGTGCCCTGCGACTGACTGCCGACCATTTGAGGGTGTAATCTGCCTTGCACCTGAAGTCAGCTGGGAGAGGCTTCAATAATTTTCTGCGACCCTGTTCAGGATAAGCGGTGTTGAAAATGGATGGATTCATGCCAGTTGGCCACCGAATACTGAGTCTTTGTTGACTTTGAGGTTTCTTGCATGAAAAGATTATTACTGTCAGAATCTAGTTTTGTTGCCGCCCTCTGCTGCTTTTGGATTCCACAGTTAGTGCTTTGTGCACACCTTAGATTTTTTTGCATAGCTTACTTAGTTGGGGTTTTGTTTTCAGTTAATTATTTGTAAAAGGCATGTTTTCTTTGGCTATTTGGATCATTTTGAATTGAAATAAACAACACAGAATTAAAAAAAAAATCCTACCTTGGTGGTGGTGGCAATCAGCTGAGTGACATCATTGAGGCTGTGCAAATGAGGAACCAGCTCCAACCATAAATTAACCTGAGGAAAACAGAGAACAAAGGATATGAATCTATCTATCTCACCACCTACCTACTCTCTCTCTCTCTCTCTCTCTCTCTCCCTCCCATCCATCCATTTATTGATCTCGCAGATTGCTTTACTATAAACAACCGATATGCCTTAACAGCAGCTCCTTTACTTTTTGTTCTTCTACTTTTTTCCTTTCATAACTTTGCTGCTGTAAATTGGGAATTTCTCCATTGTGAGACAAATAAAGGTTTTCTTATTCTTATTCGTATGCTTGCTTTGTTGCTCACTGTTAAAAAAATGTATTTAGTCCACAAACATTTGACTTTAATTCTTTTTTCTTTTGACAGTTGAACAATTTGGAGTGTGCAAAAGCCCAGGATTTAACAGCAGTGCCCTGTTAATGTTATGAGCAGTAATGATCGTCTTTTTTTCCAAACATTTTTAAATTATGTACATAGCACACCTCTACATAGAGTAGAAAATATGTATTTCTTAACAAGTCACAGCAATATAGAAAAAGGATAACATAAAAAAACACAAAAAAGACAACACACACTATCTTGACATTCAAAGACACAATAATACAATCTTGTACAGGCCAACCATTACCCCAAACGGTCCATCTCTGCAAATAAGGTGCTCTAGTAGATACAAATTCTCCGGTGGGGTGAACAACCATGGACTGCAGAAAGCAGATTTTGTGTCAACAGGCCAAAGGGTTTCAGGAGTTTGTTGATTGTTGTTCACCACAAATTATGTGGAGCTGGTGTGGACCATGTGTGTCATCTCTTGCAACAAATCAGGTATGAACTTGATATTCTCTTTCATTGTAATTTATTTTTGGATGCAGACTGTGACCCTTCAGCATCCCAATCATTTGCCCATTTATCTTGGAAATAGTATTCATTTTGGTGGTTTTGTCATTTTTTTTCAAGGGTTAACTGTCACTGAAACAAAACGGTTGTTGCAAGTGAGGGAACGAGATTTTTTTTTACAATAAAATCCATGCAAGACAAAAAAAAGAAGACCTTAGTATTAACTGCATTATCTTTTTTTATTTTTATTTTTTAATGTGGCACCAAAAGGAGCAGAGAACCGGAGCAGGGGTAGGGGACCACTATACCAGAGGATGGTAAGGTGACATCTAACTGCCCGATGCAACATGACAACACAGATATTCTCTCTTCTTTTTAATTTAGTCTTATCTTATTGTGCAAAATAAAAGATGAGCTTGTCCCTGACTAGGGATGGGTACTGAACCCCAGTACTACTAAACTGTAGAACTGTACTGTGTGATCATATTACAACAGTATTTATATTAATTTGAATTATTTATAAACGTCCATTGTGTGCAATTCAAAACATTTTGCCTGTCCATCATACATCATTCGTCAGTGGCCTGGGGTTAGGGTTATCATCGGGGGTCCGCCAATTTTTTTGGGAGCAAAACCAAACAAATTCTCAGTCTGTCATGTTATTTTAACCACACTTCCATTTTTAAAATGTATTTATTTATTTATTTATTTTTACAACATATGGCGTATGAACAGTCATTGTGTTCTGCATTCTGGTTGGCTGTGGGGAACCCATTCTCAAAAGTCTGTTAATAAGAAAACAGCACCAACAACTAACCAAAACTGTTCTTCACTGGAAAACACCAACCGATTGTCTCATTGTCACATGTATGAAAACATAATAATACCAATCTGAAAATATTAAAACAAAACACACAATATTTTGGATGATAATAACATTGGAAGCATTGCCTTGTTGACGTGCATATGCACATTAAAGAAGTTAAAATATTAGGAAGTTAAAATAATTCACACTATTGTGAATTTCGTTCAATTTTGAGACAATACCGAAAAAAACATGCTGTTTAATTTACTCAGTTTTATTTCGTCAGGTGGTTGCACACAATAAAGTCATCTGGATCCAACCATACTCCAGCAGCACAAGTCCTGAGGCTGCCCTCCGACTATTCTCTGACGGTGCAAGCTCTGCAGCCGCCCTCTGACAGCGCAAGCCCTGCAGCCACCCTCAGAACATGTTCCAGCAGGGCAAACTCTGCGGCTGCCCTCTGACGCTGCTCCAGCAGAGCAAGCCCTGCGGTGGCTCTCTGAACTGGCTTCGTTGGCTCAAGCCCTGCAGCTGCCCTCATACACTGCTATTGTGGTGCAAGCCCTGTGGCTGCCCTTTGACCCTGCTATGGCAGCGCACGTCCTATGGCCGCCTTTGTCTCCTTTGTGGACCCTCGGATGGCCACTGGACTAGGCTCGTCTTGCCTCTGGGACGAACACTGCATTGGTCCTGCCATGAACCTCTCTCTTCTGGCCTGGAGGACGGCCACCGGATTGGTGCTCTCAAGAACCTCTCATCTGACCTACGAGATGGCCACCAGACACAAGAACCTCTCATTGGCCTTCTCCGTTCTGTCTTTGATATTGGGTTTGATTTAGTATTCTTTTGTTTGTGTCTGTCTCATTAGGTTAATGAGCCCACCTGTGCTCGTTTACCCAATCCCTTGTGCTACCCAATCGGCTCTCTCTTCCACTTAGTGTCTTATCCAGATGTTGCTTATTGTCTTGTAAATTAGTTTTTGCTTTCTTTAATTTGGAGGACACCCCCTACTCCATCCCCCAACGATTGGGTCACTACGCACAGTGTGTGATCAGCGTGTAGGGAGATGGAGCCCTTTTATATACATTGTGTGTGTCTGTGTGTGTGTGTGTGTGTGTGTGTGTGTGTATTTTTTTTTCGTCTTCATGGAGTGTTGTGTGTTGAATTTGGCCACAGTAAATAACAATGCAAGGAAAAGGAAAAACATGTTACATTTTGTTTTATGTTATACATCATTCATTTAAAACATCCACTTGGACTGGAAGGATAAGTAAGATACCTTGTTGGCACGATAGTGCTCTTTGACACGTGGCTTTAGCCCTATGTGCAGGTAAAGCTGATCTTTCTGGTTGTAGCGTGTCCATGCCACTTCTTCAAAGCGGTTGGGCTTTGTGTGGATGAATTTGGTGTCCTGAGGTACAGGCTGATTAGGGTCACTGAAAAACATCAAAAAGCAAAATGAAACTATCATCAACAGAGAACCTCTTAAAAAAGAAAGAAAATGAAAAAAAATCACACAATTTCAATATTCAGTTAATTTTTTTTTTTTTTTGGTGGGGTACCGCATATTCCCAAAGCAGCTGCCACAGAACCCCCCGAGGGACACGGTCAAACACCATCTTTAAGTCGACAAAACCATGAATGGCTGAGCAAACTGCCATGCACCCTCGACAGTGCAGACAGTGAACAATGTAAAGTGCTTGCTTCTAGCTGTTTATTGGTACACTCAGTTGGAGTTTACACATGAAACAAATGGAATCATTGTGTCCATACATCCATCCATCTTCTACCGCTTATCCGAGGTTGGGTCGCGGGGGCAGCAGCTTTAGCAGGGAAGCCCAGACTTCCCTCTCCCCAGCCACTTCTTCAAGCTCTTCCGGGGGATCCCGAGGCGTTCCCAGGCCAGCCGGGTGACATAGTCCCTCCAGCGTATACTGGGTCGTCCCCGGGGCCTCCTACCGGGGGGACATGCCCGGAACACCTCACCAGGGAGGCGTTCAGGCGGCATCCTAATCAGATGCCCGAGCCACCTCATCTGGCTCCTCTCGACGAGGAGGAGAAGCGGCTCGACTCTGAGCCCCTCCCGGATGACCGAGCTTCTCACCCTATCTCTAAGGGAGAGCCCGGACACCCTGCGGAGAAAACTCATTTCGGCCGCTTGTATCCGGGATCTTGTTCTTTCGGTCACGACCCATAGCTCGTGACCATATATGAGGGTTGTAACGTAGATTGGCCAGTAAATTGAGAGCTTCGCCCTTTGGTTCAGCTCCTTCTTTACTACAACAGACCGATACAAAGTCCGCATCACAGCAGACGCTGCAACGATCCACCTGTCGATCTCTCGCTCCCTCCTACCCTCACTCGTGAACAAGACCCCAAGATATTTAAACTCTTCCACTTGGGGCAAGATCTCCTCCCCGACCCGGAGGGAGAACTCCACCCTTTTCTGACTGAGGACTATTGTTTCAGATTTGGAGATGCTGATTTTCATCCCAACCGCTTCACACTCGGTTGCGAACCGCTCCAGCGAGAGTTGGAGAGCGCTGTTTGAAAGAGCCAACAGTACCACATCATCTGCAAAAAGCAGAGATGCAATAGTGAGGCTACCAAAACGGACCCTCTCAACGCCTCGGCTGCGCCTAGAAATTCTGTCCATAAAGGTTATGAACAGAATCCGCGACAAAGGGCAGCCTTGGCGGAGTCCTACCCTCACTGGAAATGATTCAGACTTACTGCCGGCAATGCGTACCAAACTCTGACATTGGTGGTATAGAGACCGAACAGCCCGTATCAGGGGGTTCGGTACCCCATACCCACGAAGCACCCCCCACAGAACTCACCAAGGGACACGGTCAAACGCCTTCTCCAAGTCCACAAAGCACATGTAGACTGGTTGGGCGAGTTCCCACATACCCTCGAGGACCCCTCTCAGGGTGTAGAGCTGGTCCACTGTTCCACGGCCGGGACAAAAACCACACTGCTCCTCCTCAATCTGAGACTCGACTTCCTGATGGATCCTCCTCTCCAGCACCCCTGAATAGACCTTATCAGGGAGGCTGAGGAGTGTGATCCCTCTGTCGTTGGAACACACCCTCCGATCCCCCTTTTTAAACAGAGGGACCACCACCCCAGTCCGCCAATCCAGAGGCACTCTCCCCGATGACCATGCAATGTTGCAGAGGTGTGTCAACCAGGACAGCCCCACAACATCCAGAGCCTTGAGGAACTCCGGGCAGATCTCAACCAACCCTGGGGCCCTGCCACCGAGGAGCTTCTTAACCACATCAGTGACTTCAACCACAGAGATAGGAGAGCCCATCTCAGAGTCCCCAGACTCTGCTTCATCAACGGAAGGCGTGTTGGTGGAGTTGAGGAGGTCTTCAAAGTCCTCTGACCACCGACTCACAACGTCCCGAGTCGAGATCAGCAGCACCCCATCCACACTGTACACAGTGTTAGTGGTGCACTGCTTCCCCCTCCTGAGACGTCGGATGGAGAATTTCCTCGAAGCCGTCCGGAAGTCTGCTTCCATGGCCTCACCGAACTCTTCCCACGCCCAAGTTTTTGCCTGCCGACCACTGAAGCTGTGTTCCACTTAGGCAGTCGATACCCATCAGTCATTGTGTATTTAACCAAATTACCTAACTTTTGAAAGTCTGCTATCTTAATGCAACCACACAATGCAAAATGCTGTAAACAGGCTTATTTAACTAAAATCAATCCAGCAAAAGTTATTACCATTAAACACTGACTATTTTAACACAAATGGTTGAGCAACATATTGAAACAGACAAAATAACAACACTCAGGCATGTATTATTGATCTGCTGTGAAAATAATGGCTGACATTACAACAACATATTAAGTCATTTACCGTATTGGCCCGAATATAAGACGGTGTTTTTTGCATTGAAATAAGACTGAAAAAGTGGGAGTCGTCTTATATTCGGGGTCTAGACATTATACCCATTCACGACGCGAGATGGCGCCAGATATCATTAAAGCAAATGCTGAACTTGACTCCCCAGGCCAAAGTGAACCCCTGTCACGAAGAATAAAAATAAAAATAGCTGTAGCATGAAGAAGAAAAATAAAAAATAGCGGTAAGAAAGAAAAGAGAAGAAAATAATAGAAGAGATAACAGAAAATAGAGGGCATAGCGACAATCTGGAGAAAAGTGGGTCGAAGAGCGGCCGGTTAACCGTAGCTGAGGAGAAGTTATGATGTAATATACATTTCAAAAACCAGAAGCCATTCATTTATGAATGTGATTGCACTTTAGTTTATATATTTAAATGTTCAGATATTAAGATTTGAATGAGGCAAAATAACATGCTTTTTTTCTCAAATATATTGTTATAATCATTTGTTTCAGATGTACTGTAATTAAATTAATTTGGTGTTCAAAAAGTCTTTTTTCAAACTTGAGTTTTGAAAAAGAGGGGGTCGTCTTATAATCAGGGCCGTCTTATATTCGGGCCAATACGGTAGTTGCAAAACTCTTCTTTGTGTACAGATGTATGTCTGTATTATACTGGACTCAAGGTTTTTACATCAGAAGGCACACACTTCATACAACAAACAATAAAACAAACAATTAATCACAAAGACAATAGAATGTTCAAAAACGGTAAAACTGCAAATCAAGTAACGTGCTGAGTCAAAGCCAAAAGAATAAAATGAGTTTTAAGAAAAGCTTTAAAAATGGGTAGCGAGGGGGCTTGTCTAACTCTCAGCAGAAGGTCATTCAAAAGAGAGGGACCAGTAACGGAAAAGACTCAATCCCCTCTTGAGTCTTTGCTTTGTTCACGGTACCTCTAATAATGTAATCTCCTCCACAGACCTGAGGCACCAGGCAGGTGCGTAGGAACAGAGGAGCTCAGAGAGCTATGGTGGGGCAAGGCCATTTAAAGATTTGAAAACAAATAATAGGACCTTACAAACAACTCTAAAATGTATGGGGAGCCAGTGAAAGAATGCCATAGTAGGAGTACTTTCTCTTATGAGTACCATTGAAGGGGCAAGCAACTGCATTTTGGACCAACTGGAGACGCTTCATGGAGGAATGGTTGACTCCAAAGTAAAGTGCATTCCAATAACCCAGCCAAGATGTGACAAAGGCATGAATTACTGTTTCAAAGTGCTCTTGAGAAAAGAGAGGCTTTATTTTAGCCTGCTGCCTAAGATGAAAGAAGCAACCCTGACAATAGTCCAATTTAAAATCATTGTCCATTTTAAGACCCAAGTTCGAGACTGTTGGCTTGTGATAAGGAGCCTGGGGGCCCAAGTCCGCAGGATGGGATTTACAACGGCCATTGGGACCAAACACCATCATTTATGTTTTCTTTTCATTGAAAAGAAAACATTCAAGAAAAGAGAAATTCAGTGCCATCCCGGTCTTAATTTCCTCTATACAGGATAAAAGTGACCTCAATGAGAAAGTGTCTCTTTTGCTCAGTGGGCCATAGATCCGACAGTCATCCACATAGCAATGGAAGGAAATACCATGTTTCCTTGAGCTGGAACCCAAAGGAAACAGAGACTATGAAAACAGCAGAGGACCCAGAACTGAGCCCTGTGGAACATCACATGACAGTGGGGCTGTACGTGACTCAGAGCAGCCAAGGCTAACACAAAAGGTCAGCTAAATAGACTCAAACCACTCAAGCGCGCTTCCACCAATGCCCACCAAGCGCCTCAAACGAGTCAACAGAATACTGTGATTCATTGTATCAAACGCTGCAGTTAAATCCAATAAAATCAAACACACATAGTCTCCAGGAGGATGTCATGAGAAACACATAACAGGACTGACTCTGTGCTATGCATCATCTTGAAACCTGACTGGAAGACCTCCAAGATGTGATATTTATCCAAGAACTATTCTAACTGCATGTGCACCCCTTTTTCCAGAATTTTTGAAAGGCAGTTTGGAAATGGGTCTATAATTTGGCAGTACATTTTGATCAAGGCCAGGTTTTTTGATCAAGGGTTGCATCAAAGCATCTTCAAATTGTTGGGGAACTATATCAAAAGAGACTGTTGTTGATAATGGCCAAGACCGATGTACCAATTCTCGTGAGAACCTCCTTAAAGAAATGCAGAGTCACAAGCGGAGCCAGATGGCTTAGTCTGGCAAACCACATCCACTAAAAACGTCAAAGACACAGCTTCAAAACAATTTAACACAGCTGAACACGGAACATGGACAGAGGTGTCAAATTGTGGTTTTTGAAACAAGAGTCCTAGCTGTAGAAACCATATCAATGAAAAATTGAAGGAATCTGTTGCATATTTTGGATGAATATTATGAGCAAGTAGGCTGAGGGGCTTTGAGTACATAATATATAGTTTTAAATAGTGCATATGGGTTTTGACAGTATTGTGTGGTCAACTTTGTCAAAAGCTGCACATAGGTCAAGCAAAACAAGAGCAGAACGTTTCTTCATATCCATGTTGCACCTTCGGTCATTTACAATTCCTCTTGTTTAGTACAGTAAATATTCCCATCCCCGGAATTCTATGAAAAGGAATATCCTTCACCCGTAATAAAAACCTATGCATTAACATTTTGACTACGATATTACATGTTACCGGAACTTACGTAAGCGGAAATTCCACTAGCCGTAACCCGGATGGAGGCGTAGTGCCGCGGGAGCTTAAATACACGCAACACCCACCCGATGCGACGGAAAGACGTGTCTCCCACACATTTTCACTTCGCATTTTTTGATCATCAGATCCGAAACGACGATGTGTGAGGTTTAATTGGTGTGTGTTTTATTGTAATTGTGAATGATTTTAACTTTATTCACTTACGTCCTGTAGAACGCGGCACTAGCTTAAAAGCAGCACCCACTTGACATGACAGAAGAAACATGTTCACTTCGCCGTTTTCAAACATCCGATTCGAAACGATGACGTGTAAGTAACTTTTTATTGGCGTGAGTTTTACTGTAATTGCGAAAGATTTTAACTTTATTCACTTACGTCGTGTAGATCATGGCATCAAAACGTAGAAGAACTGTAATGACTGTAGCGGAGCGAGTGAAATGCATCCGTTTGAGTGAGGCTGGACACAAAGTAAAAAGCATCCAGCAGACACTTGGAGTCGGAAAGACGCAAATCTACGAAAGTTTAAAAACCAAGGCATCGATTCAACTCCTGATGACAAGCCACCATCCAGCAAGGAAGCAATACAAATGGCAACAAAAATCCTTCAGTATGCACAAGAATCACCAGACATCGGTGATCAACGGGACAGTTACTTGCAACTAGCAAGAAAACTGTATGACACGCAGGCAAACATTGTCATAAACCAAAGAATGCATCCAACCAAACAATCCAAAATAGACACGTTTTCCCAAGACAGAAAAAAATAAACATTAAAATACTGTACATATTTTACTGTTGTGATTTTTTTTGGATACACCCGTATTGCAGTTTTTGTTATATAAACAGTTTTTGGACAGTATATTTTTGTATTTTATTGATCGTGTTGTTACACGTGCTTTTTGTCAACATACTTGCAAGTTCATAAAGGACATGTACCATGCTAATTTCCCAAATGAGGAATTTCTGTTATCAGGACAGATTGGAGAGCGCAAACACGAGTCTGTACTCGAGAATGTTTACTGTACTGTGTTTTGCCCGTAAACCAGATTGAAATTGTACATGAGAGTTTAAAAAGTCATTTAAATGATTAAAAACAATCTTTTCTAAAATCTTATTTACAAAGTGCAGATTAGATACAGGTCTATAATTAGTAAGAACTGATGGATCTAGAGTCTAGATCCATCAGTTCTAGATTCTAGACTGTCTCGACAGAAGGGGTTTGATCACAGCAATTTTAAGAGAGGATGGCATCTGTTTGAAGAGAGCTGTGAATAATGAGTAAACCCTCATGAAAAAAAGTCATGAACAGATTTAAAAAAAGATGTGGTGATGGGATCTAAAACAGGTTGTGGTGAGAGCTGAGAAATAACCTTTATCAATGTCTCAGCATCAATCAGAACAAACTTCTCTCGTGTTTCCCCTCCTTCAAAGAGAGACTCATAGGTGTTAAAATCCAAGGCTTGGTAATGTGATGAATTTGACCTTATACCCTCTATTTTAGGATTAAATTTCCATTACCCAACATATCCAGTTCAGAGTCCTTCAACTGACTCACAAAGCCCTCCATAATCATGCCCCTCTCACCTTTCTGACCGCTTCCATGACCACACTCCCTCGCGTGGCCTCTCATTACCTCACCAGACCAGGTATAGAACCACGGAGGGAAAAGCCTTCACCATCTCAGCTCCCACCTTCTAGAAGTTGCTCCCGAAACCCCTGCACGACTGCTCAGATCTCTGCACGTAAATCTGTGATGTCATATTCCTGTCTCTATATTGTTTTCCCTCAGTTTTTATCTCAGTACTTTATAAACTGTGAAGTGACTTTGAGTACTCTTTAAAAGTGTTCGATTAAATAAAATTATCATCATCAACTCAACCCAACTGTATTTATAGAGCACTTTAAAACAACCATCACTGTACACAAAGTGATGTACATGGAGCAAATATCATATATACAATAAAACAAGAAATTAATAATAAAGACAGTAGTCATAGAACATGCCATAGAACACAAATGAGTTTTGAGATGAGTTTTAAAGATAGGCAGCGAGGGGGCTTGCCGAATGTTCAGTGGGAGGTCATTCCAAAGAGAGGGACCAGCAACAGAAAAGGCTCGATCCCCTCTGAGCCTCCACTTAGTTCTTGGTACTTTTAATAATGCCTGGTCCGCAGACCTCCTCCTCCTCCTCCTGGGCAATCGGCCCCTGTCAGGTACTTGCCCCCCCTCATGGGTCCCACACCCAGTACGGCTCTCACCGGTGCCTTGCGAGGTTCACACCCAGCATGGGCCCCGGAAGGGCCTTGCCTGATTATTGTTTAAGGAGGGTTGTGGGGCAGCTACTCCCGCTCCCCTCCGTTGCGGCGGGTCGAGCGCTGGGCGCCTCACCTTCCGGTGAGACTCCACCTCCTTCCTCGCTGGCCGGTGGGCATTTAGCCGTGAATGGGGCCCAAGAGCCCCGGCATTTCCCCTCTCACGCCACTCGGACGCATCCCACCACGCGAGGGCTGGTCCGCAGACAATCCGATCCGATCCTGGGCAGTCGGCCCCCGTCAGGGACTTGCCCCCCCTCCCGGGTCCCACACCCTGCACGAGTCTCGCTGGTGCCTTGCGAGGTTCCCCGCCAACAATTCCTTCCCACATCTCCCGCAAGCCACCCTTCTCCCCCCACAACCCCCCTCTCTGATTGCTCTTCGTCCTCCCCCGGCTTCCCTTCCACGCATCACGCCCGCTTCGTCCCTTCTCCCTCCTCCCCTCTCTTCCTCATTCTCTCTTTCCACTCTTTCAAACCCTCTCACGTGTCTGGCATAATTTGCTTTTGTCACCCACCTTTCACACCCTCCACACTGTCTCCTCTCTCCCTTCTCCTCATACGCTCCTCCCGTGCAGCTCCTTTGGTGACTTATCATATTCCCTTTTGACCCAAACATCCTCCCACATTTCCCACACTCAAACTTCACCTGTTCGTCGTTCCTGCAGTGCATCCGCTTTTCGTGCATGGTTAGACCTGCTCTACTCCTGCACACTTTTCCGCACCCCTCATACCTACATTCCAATCCATCATTCACTCTCCTAACATTCCTCTTCAGTTTTTCTTCATTCATTTCCGCCTCATATCTCTGACCCTTCTGATTTTCCCATTTATACAGGTGATCCATACGCTCACTCACTCTCCTCTTCCATCCTTCTCTGTCCCTCGTTAGTCTCTCCACCTCCGTCCAATCCATCCCTGCGTTCCTCATTACTCTCTTCCAGTATAATACCGTCTTGCTTTTACGCCCCATCATCTTCCCTCTTCCTTCCAGTTCCTCCCACCATCCTAATACCATCGCTTTTGTTATTCTTTCATTTCCCATGTGCATCACATGTCCGATCCCTTGCAACACTCGCCTCTCAATTTTCCACTCGATAGATTTTACTCTCAACATTTTCCTCACATCATACATATTCACTCCCTTTTCTTGCATTTGTCTCAACGGTTCTCCATTCCTATCACTCCATACGTACCGATAGCATTTATCCATCTATTTTTGTAGTTTTCCCACATCTTTCTTAATCCACATTCTCACTTGACAGTCATACAGCAGGCTGCTTTCCACACACGCCTCTACTACTCTCCCCTGCCACCTCTTTGATAGTTGTGTCCCTTTCAGCCACCCTTTCACACTCCCCCATAACTTTCCTGCCCTCTTGATCCTGTTGTTTACGTCTGCAATCCGACTACCTAACACTCTGATCTCCTCCCCCTCTTTTGTTCCAAACTCCAGCACCTCCTCCTTCTCCTCATTGTTCCTCTCTTCCCACTGATTCATCACTCTTTTCACTCTCCTTACACTCTCACTGATTTCTCCTTTCGTCCCCACTATTGTTGTGTCGTCCGCAAACAGAGCACTTGACACTCTCACTTCTTTCGTTTCCGAGCTTCTTTTTTCCCAGCCGTGTTCACCTGCGAACGACCCTCCCGGTATCCACCTCCACACCACCATTTTCTCTTCCCTATTGTCTTGGCTCCTCGCCGCCAATGCCTGCCTCATCACCGCCTGATGGTAGATGTTAAAGAGGATCGGTGATGTAGAGCATCCAGACCTCATCATCATCATCATCATCATCATCATCATTATTCTCCAGAAATTTGCCTTCATTCGGTATCCCATAGGCTCAAGTAGAGTGAAGCAAGCAGCACAACAACAGTGCATTTGTGGGACTGTACCCGGTTTTGGCGAAGTTTGTCCAATAAGTCATCATCACGGCACTGAGCATAATGTCATTCTTCGAAAAATTGCAGGGAAATAGCTCAGTTGGTCCAATCATTGGAAGGCCAAACACATAGGGGATCTCATCTCCATGAGATGCGTCAGCCCAGGGTGGCACCTAATGAGCAACAGAGTTATTAGAATCAAACTACAGTAAGCTCACTGTTACAATTTGTGTCGTGTGTTTAACTATTAGGACATAACATCCACAAAAAGAAAAAAAAAAAAGAAAAATAAAAGGAGCAAGGCAGCCATTTTAATGTCATCAAGAATTACAAACGACCATTCCAATGAATTTGGGCGGGTGTGTAAAATGTAAATACAACAGAAAATTATGATTTGCAAATCTTTGGTAACACTTCACAAAAACAATTGTTAGTTAATCATTTGTGATGCATTAGTTAAAGATGAAGTCATGGTGAGAAATTGTGAACTCATGATGAATTAATCATTTGCAACTACTTAAGACTTATGAATTAGTCATTGACAAACATTAACAAACGATTGGCTCATGATTAAGAAAGCCATGACTAATCACTATAATGCAATAGCAAAAGATGAAATCATAATGGACAAATATTAACTTACAATGAATTAATAATTTGCAGCTACTTAATGATTATGAATTCATAGTTTGAAAATATGAACTAATGATTAACTCTTCATTATGAATATCCTTGACTGAAATTTGTAATGCATTTGCTCAAGAAGAACTCATGACGGCCAATTATGAGTTCATGTTTAATAATTTTTAACTATTGAAGGATCAGGAGTTAATAATTATAATAATTGTTGTTGAAGAGCTTGTCTGCAGCTGTTTTGCCTGATTTGGAAGTTGTGGTTTATGACTGAAAAAAGTGTCTAAAATGGTTAATTACAAGAATATATTCATAACTACCTGTGCATTTTTTCAAGAAAAACACATGAAAATGCTCGCAAGTGGACTGCTTCACTCATGACTTGGCTTCTTGTTTTCGAGACACATAATTTTTTTTTTTTGGGACAATCTTCTATTTCTTGCTTCATGTGTGGCCAATGGCGGAACGGTGGTCGACTGATTAGCACGTCCACATCACAGTGCAGAGGCCATGGGTTCGATTCCGGCACATAGACTTCCTGTGTGGAGTTTGCCTGTTCTCCCCGTTCCTGCATGGGTTTTCTGTGGGTACTCTGGTTTCCTCCCACATTCCAAAAACATGCAGGGTAGGTTCATTGAACACAATTGTCCTTAGGTGTGACTGTTACCCCTTTTCCGCGAAAAAACTTATGCAGGGCTTGTTGGTGCTTAACAAGTGCTTACAAAGAACGTGTTTGTTTTTCCCCCAGCAAAGAGCCAATCGATATCATCATCACTATTATACGTCACTGCTTATGTGAGCGCCTGCGCTATTTCCCAAGATTTCTCATGTGAAGGTCCCACGTCTGCTACTTTATATTTTGCAAGCCTGCAGGAGGTGGCATGTACAAAATATGATGCTACTAAGGGCTCTCCATCGTTGTCAAAGGTACAGGGAACGGCGGCAATGTGTAAGACAGGTAATTATCAGAGATCTGTGCACATTTCGATTCCTAGTAATGAACATGCTACTGTTAGCATCTGGTAGGCAATGTTTATATTTGTGTGTATTTGTACCGTATTTTCCGCACTAAAAGGCGCACTGGATTATGAGGCTCACCGACAATGAATGGCTATTTTGTAATTTTTTTTCATACATTGGACGCTTCGCATTATAATGCCTACACTAGATGGTGGTACGGTCCTTCCATTCAACTTGAGAGGCGTCGTTCAACTCGAGAGGCGTTCATGACCGCCTCTGAAAAAATGTAAATTAACTATTACTGTACTTAAATGAAACTACGAAAATGGAAAATAATGCATGAAAACAGAAAATCAAGCGAGGAAATCACAAAACAAATTCTATAACCCCCACCCCCTACAGAATTTATTTTGTGATTTCCTCACTTGATTTTCTTCGTAGTTTCATTGAAGTAATCATTAATTTACGTTTTTCGGAGGCCGTGCCTTCTCTTCTTTCGTTCAACTCGAGAGGCGTTCATGACCGCCTCCGAAAAACGCATTGGCATTTCCTGGATCATAGCTCCAACAGAACGATCAGATGTCAGTAGTAGTTATTTATTCCTTTGTTGTGTATTCACAAATGATGAAATCACAATATAAATTCTGTAGGGGGGGGCTATAGAATTTATTTTGTGATATCCTTGCTTGCTTTTCAGTTTTGATGCATTATTTTCAATTTTCGTAGTTTCATTGAAGTAATTGTTTGTTTACATTTTTCGGAGGCGGTCTTGAACGCCTCTTGAGTTGAACGGAAGAAGAGAAGGCACGGAGACGGACAAAGACGTATCTGCATTTGTTGAGACTGCTTTAACAAAACAACACCACAGCCCTCCTTTTTTCGGAGCCACAACGAAAACATATTTAATAAAGCAGCGACACAGTTCACCGAACCAACAGCAAGTTATAACATTGTAAGCATGTCTCCAGCAAGGAGCCATCTTGGGGTCAACATATTACCGTCATGACCATACACAAGACGCACCGGATTTTAAGGCGCTCGGTGAGCTTTTAAGAAAATGGAAGACTTTTTGGTGCGCCCTATAGTGCAGAAAATACGGTAGTATAGAACAGTCAGGGACATGCAATGAGCCTTTTAGATGCCTCCTAAAAAGAAACTACTGCAAGCTGGAGCTGTGCAAGACGATGGCACTGACCTGCTGTGTACTTCATAATACTTGTGAGGAACATGGAGATAACTTCCTTGAGGAGCTACCAGGCACACGTGCACACTATCAGCCTCCTTTCCAACCCTTACCAGATAATGGTCATCGAGAAGGGGCAGACATTAGGGCAGACTTGATGGAATATTAGAATAGTACTTAATGTTGACTGCATGATTGAAGGTGGGTACAAACAACATAACACAACGAAGTTGGAGTAAACACTCCCGAATCCCACTTTCTTAGTGCAGGGGTCGGCAACCCCAAATATTGAAAGAGCCATATTGGACCAAAATAAACAAAAAACAAATATGTCTGGAGCTGCAAAAAATAAAAAACCTTATCATGAAGGCAACACATGCTGTATGTATCTATATGAGCTATATTAGCCTACGATCAACATGACTAAGTTGGCTACAAATACACAACAAGCATTCATGATTAAAAGGTTTTTTTCTCCCCCTGCAGTTCATCCTGTAGAGGAGGGGTGCCCAAACCTTTTTGATGGAAGATCTACTTTTCGATCAACCAACCTCCCGCGATCAACCCGTTACCGCACATGCGCGCATGCGCACACACTTACACACGCATGTCATAATAAGCAAAAGCCAGAACGGCCGCTAAGATGAACGAGGCATGGGACGCACTTTCGCAGCATGCTAACTATCGTATCTTACGTGCACCGTTTAAAAATGCTTCTCTTGGCCGCCCAGATTCCCATTCTTAGCAAGTATCCTCGGTGAATTGTACATGAAAGGCAGCTGTTTTATTTATTTATTTAATTTAAACAACAGCCCCCTGACTGACATCCCGCCCTGCTAGTAGAAATGTGTGTCGCAGGCTATGACGCAACGATGTTGACATTTAATATTTATTCGACACATTTTTACAGCATCGGAAAACGTTAATGTTTGTGTCATGTTTGTCCTCTGACAGAAACCATATGAAAACTAAAAAAATGTATTCCCTTCCCCTCTTTTTCCATTTTCAAACATTTTTGAAAAAGCTCTAGGGAGCCACTGGGGGCGCTAAAGAGCTGCATGCGGCTTGAGAGCTGTGTGTTGCCGACCCCCATCTTGGTGCAACATGAATGGACTGAACAAATAATGAACCAAATCTGGTTATGGCGAATTTTCTAAAATACACAAATGAATTAGTGACAAAATGAATGAATGAATGAAGGCTATGAGGAAAACTAATTTGTTGCACAAACCGAAAGACAGTGGTACCAAAACACAAGGGAGAGGGGCTGACAAACACAACAAGACAACACACAACACAGTCAGCCCCAGGTACTGACTAAACACACAACACAGGTGCCCCCTCCTCCAACTCTGAATCGAACAGAGTCCTTTTAAAAGTGGTGGTTAATCTTTGCAGGTGGAGGCGCATATGAAACTATTCAGTAATTGGGTCACTCTCCCTTGCACTAATTGGTCAGCTAAATTGAGGATAAGGGCCACCAATCAGGAAGGAGCAGGGGGAGAGCTCCTGCATGCAAATATTTCTCCAAAAACAGAAAAAAAATAAAAGGGCCACAAGATATTGTGGGCTGTAACAGCAAGGTTGTTCTTGCGAATATTTATGCTCCCAATTGGGATGATCAAACCTTTTTTCGATGGGTATTTTCAAAGTTACTGTATCTGTCCCAACATAGTTTAATTCTGAATGGTGATTTCAATTGTTGTATTGACCCTTTATTGGATTGCCCACAACAACTTCAGTGCCACAATCTAATTCTACCAAGATGCTGGGAGCTTTCATGGATGCGATAAAGCACAGGTGTCGAAGTCCGGTCCTCGAGGGCCGGTGTCCTGCATGTTTTCCATCCCTCCCTGCTGCAACACACCTGATTCAAATGATCAGGATCACTATCAGGCTCCAATAGAGCTTGCTGATGAGCTGTTCATTTGGATCAGGTGTGTTGCAGCAGGGAGGGATGGAAAACATGCAGGACACCGGCCCTCGAGGACCGGACTTCGACACCTGTGCGATAAAGATTTGAGATCTGAAGGTGGTCAGTCTATCTCGGCATATTGATAGTTAAGACTCTTAGTACGCCATATCTAAGGTACCAAAGATTTACAGTGTAAGAAATGAATGGCTTTTCAAGTGGAGTCTCATGTCATCCTCTTGCATTGCACCACCAGACTGCTTCTTCTTTCAAAATCAAATTTTTATGAGCAGGCAGATGAAACTAGCAGATTGTTGGCTCACCAGTGGCGCCAAAGATCTGCGTCCCAGTAAATCCCAAGTGTGGAATCCAATGTAGGTGTTACATCTGACCCCTTAGAGATTACCGGTAATCAAACATTCATGGAATATTATACAACATTGTACATATCTGACCATGTCTTTGATCATGTAGAATCCAAATCCTTTTTGATAAGCTGACACACCTGGTTTTAGATCAGGCTTTGTGTGAGGACTTAGGACACATTGTTGCAGCTTGGAGAGAGCGATGAAGGGCTTGCATATTCGCAAAAGCCCTGGCCCAGAGGGGTTTTCGTCTGACTTAAATAAGGCGTTTTGGAAGCAGTTTGCTACATACTTATGGGAGATGTTCAAGAAAGCTCTTGAGCTTGGTATACGGTACTCACCCAAACACTGAATAAGGCATCTATTGCTTTAATTCTGAAGAAGTGTAAAGATCCTTTACAATGTAGTTCTTACTAGCCCCTTAGTCTTTTGAACATGGATTTCAAAATCTTATCCAAATTTCTAGCTCTTCGTTTAGAGAGTGTATTGTCACTACGTAATTATTTCACAGGACAGAATTGGATTTATTGGCACTAGGCACTCTCTTATTTTTTTTTAACTCAAAGGGTGATTTAATGTGGTGTATATCCTCTACGTGGATACAATTTGTTACTTTTGTTCGACTTGTCTCGCTCAGTTCTTGTAGCTCCCTCAGTCCTAAGTGCTTTTGATTTCCAGATATAATTTAAATCTAGAGAAGAGAGATATTTACGGTGTAAATAGATTGGCCAAGGAATACCCACAGGTAAGCTTTCCATTCCAAGTTTCTATAACTTAGGCTTTGCCTATCTGGGTGTATGTGCAAGACACTGTGGTTGACCTTCGCGGGATGAATTTTATTGCCCTGTTTACAAAGGTCAAGCAAAGGTCAAGCAAGATTTTGATCCTTACCCAATCTTATTACAGCGACTAGATTACACTTTATTAAATGAATGTTTTCCCACATGTTCTGTATTATAAAAAAAAGTTGATCATCTTTTTATCGATTTTGTTTCAGTAAAAAAAACAAAACAAAAACAAAAAAACCCACCTAGGTTACGTAGCCAGATCTTACGATGGGCTAAAGCTTTAGGTAGTATTGCTCTTCCAAATATTCTGTAAAAAAACAAACGTGACTGGTTTCACTTTGACACCTTAGAATCTAAGGTGTCAAACTCCGGTCCTCTCTAAGTGGGCTAAAGACTTTCAAGGATCTCTACATTGACTTCATTTCTGCCTCTTTTCAACAGTTGATGTTTTTATTACTTCAAGGACAGTTTTTTTTTTTTTTTTTTTTTTAGATACCTCCAAATTCATAGTTATGTTCGCATTTATTTCTACTTCAAATGTTGATTTCATTCTTGAACCGCTGCCATCACTGAAGGGTTCTGTGTCTGCCATTTACGCTAAGATTTACAAAATTGACTAAGATTCATCATTGAATATTCATAAAACTATTTGGCAGATTGAACTATAGCGAGAAACGTCAGATATTTGTAGGGACATTTTGCAGAGAACACATTAATTTGTGCCAAACACGGCTTTAATTAGTGTCGAATTATTCATTGAGGCCCTTATACTACTACCTTATACTTATACTGGCCAAAATATTTGCCTTTGTGAGGGTTAAAGCTGACTATAGATTTACATGTTACGGCTTTGCCTTTCCTATTGGTCTGGTATTTTTACTGGGATGTCCAAGGTCACAGGGGTAGATATAGCTCTAAATTGCATTGACCGTTATGTTTGGTATTCTTCGCCCTGCACTCAGTCTGCCTTCAAATAAGCACAAAAAGAAAGTTTGGAAAAAAAATATTTTTGGGTTTTCGCAAACCATCAGTTGTTTTTTGTTTGATGTTTTCATATGCAATACACTACACTAATTGATCACCAACCTTTTCCACTCTCAAATAAGACATCACCTGTTGACTGTGTTTTTTGAGTTCTGGACCTGATTGTTTTCTATCTGCAATTTGAAGTGAATTAAAGGTCCATCGTTGGGGTCAATCATCTAGTCATGCTTTATTTGTTCCATTTCGAGTGGGATTATTGATCTGTCTATAGTTAATTGTACAATGTTTGCTGAGATGCACATGGTGAATGGTAAATGAACCTTCACTTGTGTAGTGCTTTTTCTGCCTTTGGTACTAAGTTTTTTTGGAGGAAAAGGGGTAACAGTCACATCTAGGGACAATTTAGAGTGTTCAATGAACCGAGCCTGCATGTTTTTAGGGAATAATACATTTTATTGTGGGAGGATACCCGTATACCTGAAGAAAACCCACGCAGGCACTGGGAGAACATGCAATCTCCACACAGGAGGGCCGGGCCAGATTCAAACCCACAACCTCTGCACTGTGAGGCGGATGTGTTAACTAGTCTATCACTGTGCCACCAATTACACTTTTAACTCCAATTAACTCCTGACCCTTAAATAGTTAAAATTATTCAACAAGAATTTTTCTTCATGAATTAATCTTAAGCGAGTACATTGCAAAGATTAGTGAAGGTTATTCCTTATTTAAGAGTTAATCATCTGTTAACATTTGCAAATGATTAAATTACCATCATTGCAAACTAAATGCTGCAAACTATTAATATGAATAATATTTGTTCATTGTGTCTTCATTTCTTAATTTTTAGCTAATCGTTAATATTTGCAAATTATTCATTCATAATGCTCCAATTGTTGCAAATGATTGATTCATCATGTGTTCATGATTGCTCATTATGACTTCATCTTTAAACTAATGCATTACAAATGATAAACAATCGTTATAAAATGTTTGCTTTTTGTTTTTGCAAATATTCACTCATTTGGAATTTGATGCCTGCATTGTCTTTCATTGTCTTGCTGAAATGATAAGGATTTCCCTAAGACATTACACAGACGATGTGCAATTTACCCATGCCATGACCAAATAACACACCCCTATACCATCACAGATGCTTGCTTTTGAAATTGCACTAATCACACTTGATACATTCCTTTTCAAATTCACAATGAGAGAATATTTATAAGAAAAAACAATAATGATCTAACTTTGAAGTTAAAATATCTTATTTCATCCTTTAGTGCAGGGGTGCCCATTACGTCGATCGCAGACTGGTCCCAAGTCGATCGCGAGAGGTGTAGAGAAGAAAAAAAAACAAACAACCATTTGTGTGTCTTTGTGCATGTTAGTAATATATTTTTTTGTATTAATGTACACTGCACCCTAATCATCCTATCAGTCTCATTTTCACAAAATTAAAAAAAAATATATATATATATATAAAGCAGGTAAATCGTTAACCTGCGGTGGCGCGTGACCTGCGTCACCGGATGTTGTTAGCACTCAGCAGTCTGCAATTGCAGCTTGTGATCAGAGCTGTTGCGCTATATCTTTTATCGCTATCATTATTCTCATACAGAGTTTGTTTCGTGTACAATTCACCGAGGGCACGGGCAAAGAATAGGAATCTAGAGGGCCGAGGGAAGCACTTTAAAATGGTACGTGTGAGCTACGATAGTTGACAGGCTGCAAAAGTGCGTTGCATTCCTCCATGTCAGGCTGTTGCTCATCATGGCTTGCGTGTGTATGTGCATGCGCGGTAAGGGGTCCATCGCGGAGGGTTGCTTGATTGAAAAGTAGATATTCTGTCCAAAAAGTGTGGGCACCCCTGCTGTAGTGTATTCAACTGAATATAGTTTGAAAATGTTATGCAAGTCATTGTATTCTGTTTTATTGACATTTTACACAACATTCCAACTTCACTGGAATTGTGTTTGTAAGCATCTCCAAGATCATGAAATGCACCTCGGAAGTCACTTAGAATATAACTGTGTCAAGGAGTTTACTAGTTGTGCAATGGTTTATAACATCATATTTATTTTTAAAATATTGATGATTACCACAAGGAAACAAGGATGTGAGAGACTCACCTGTTCTGTTTGACAGTGATGATAGAATGCATAGAAGTAAGTAGGAGACCCAAAGCTAGAGTGCAGGTCAGCTGTGGCAACAGCAGGTGCCACCCACTGGTGATCCGTGAATAGGGCCAGCAAGGTCTTCCTGCGTGTTTCTGGGTTGTGCCTATCGGCCCAATCTGTGTACATAAACTTGATGGTCTCTCTGAGTATGTCTTTACCCTCTGGATAGCCATAGAGGTCATCCACAAAGCTTGACACAGCGTAGTCAAAGTCATTGGCCTGAACACCATTTTCGTTGTCCACGATCAGCTCCACAAATTTAAGACCCTCACCCTGGTTCACTCCAAGCATAATATCATAGTTAAGGAATTCACCTGAAAATGAAACAGAGAAGAAAGTTGACATGCTATAAAAAGTGTCAGCATTTTTTTTCCATTGATCCATTCATACATCCATACATACATCCATAACCCATCCATCCACCTTGTTCTGCTGAGTAGCAGCAGGGAAGCCCAGACCTTCCCTCTCTCCAGCCACTCTTTCAAATTCCTCAAGAGGTATCTGTAAGCATTCTTAAGCCAGCCAGGAGATATAGTCTCTCTCGTATGTTCTGGGTCTGTAATAGAGCTGCCTGCTGGTGGGGCATGCCTGGAACACGTCACCAGAGAGGTGGTACTGTATCAGTGGCAGATGCCCAAGCAACAACTGGATTGTCGAAATATGGTGAAGCAGCAACTCTACGCTGAGTCCCTCATGGACGACCAAGCTTTTGACCCTACCTCTAAGACAGCCAGGACACTATTGTAAAAACATATTTGGGCCCTATTCTTTCGGTCCCTATCCACCGCTTGTGACCAAAGGAGGTTGGAAATATTGTTTTATATTGAAAAATTAATTTTGTCAACTAAATCAGGAGCTATGTCTTTTAGCTCAGCTCCATCTTTACCAAGAATGCAGGGTCTTATCCCGACCCAGCGAGGCGGCGCTACCTTTTTCTGACTTAGAACAAGGGTCTCAAATTTGGAGGTGCTGAGTCTCACTCCAACCTGGATGGAACTCCATAATGCTGTACTCACACCTACTCGGTACCTCTCATATGTAGTGGGAAACGGCTCAACCTCGCATGCTTCAGACAACAGCTCTGACTCGTTAGACGCCAGACAGGTGATGTTTCATGCCTCCAGAGTCAGTTTCTGTAGCCGACTGAAATGACAAGGTCCCCACGCCTTTGGCCCCTTTCCCCCCATGACGAATGGGACCAATGGTGCCTCTCCAGGCTGCAGGGTCAGCCACCAGGTGCTTGCCATCAAGACTCCAGGCCGAGTTCAAGAGGGGAGATCCAGTGACCCATGTGAGGGAAAAGGTGTTCCAGATATTTCTTTATACAGGGGGTTCTTGAGCTATGCTTTGTCTGGTCCCTCACCTATCACCTGTTTGCCCTGGGTCACGCAAACTGCTCCACCACAGAAAGTGGACAGCTCAAGGAGAGTTAAAATCAAATTGCACTACAAAATTAGGCGTAGTTTGGCTACTTTCACTGGTTACATCAAGTACAGTATGATAATAATGTATGAAAGACTAAATAATAAACCAAATAGTTGAACCCAAAATTTGTTCTTGTACCTTGTTCCATGAGTATCTGAGGGTCATCAGGGATTACATCACCATCAATAACAGGTCCAAAGGCAATGTGGTACCGTGCTGGCTGGATGTCTTGATCCACCAACTCCTGGTAATGCTTTCTCTGAAGACACGTCACAAGCTCAACGGTGTCGTCAAGATTACAGCCAACTTTGCGGCCCAGCATTCTGGCATACTTAGCTGGCTGGAAGCTAACAGCCCAGCTTGACAGTGCTGTGCCACTCTGGGTGATGGCCCTTTGAAACAGCCCTAAATATATTTGAAATAGAGAAAAGAAAAAAAGGGGCAAATATTTTTATAAAGTTTTTTAAATGACACCAATAATGAAATATGCAAATCAAAAACAAAGTATTATTGTTATAAGACAAAAAAAAAAAAAATAGCTAAAACCCGAGTAAAGAGCTTTGTGCAATCATAATGTTTATTTGCTTTATTTATTTCAAGGATAGCTCTTTCAGAAATATCTTCTTATTTTCAAGTGTTTTTTTCAAAAAACATTCATTTAATCACTAGTGAAACAACATTAAAATTAATGGTAACAGAACAGATACAAGAACACTTAGAAACAGAGACACCTCCAAACACAAGCACAAACGCACATACTCACACTTGATGCTGTCCAAGTCAATATTTGACAATATATACATAGAATATATATATACATAGAACATATTAATACAAACTGTATAGTACATACACAGTACAATCAAGACATGATATAGAGCACACAAACACAAAAAATAAATACATATACATCTTTTCCTGGCTCTACATCTTCCAATCTAATTGCACCAGTTAAGACCGTGGTGTCACATATTGTCACATAGGCTAGGCAGAGAAAAAAACAAAAAAAAACAAAAAGAGCGGGATATGCAAAGGCCACAATTATCCCTCTAACTGTGAGGACTTTGCAAATGAATAAAGGGACAAATTTGATGATATCAGATCCAGCATGTTATCCCAGAATATTTTAAAAAACATTTTATGGTTTCTTTAAGGAACTGATTTTAAATGTTGTGAATATATCATCAGATAGGTGTCATCCTCGCTGCTTATGAAATGGCAGTGGTGAACCCCCTCTGAAAAGTAATTTAGACACCACCATTTTAAATAATTGCCAACCTGAATTCAAATTTGTGTTTCTGTGTGTTGGTGTTGTTTTTTGTGTTTATTGAAGTTGAGACAATAAAACAACAAATATGGAAAATCCAAAGAAAAAAAAAAACATCTCACACAAAACTCAAATTCCCTCTCTCCGCGTCACATGAAAGGTAGTATGCCACTACGCAAAACCCAGACATGTTCTGTACATAAAGACCAATAGTATTTGAATCTGCCAGAACACTGCAGAAAGAGCTTCAGACACCTTTGTTGATTGTTGATTAAAGAACATCAAAAAAAGTCCCCCCATCAAAGGAAAATCCTATTCAGAGCCCCCCTATCACACATTTTCTCAATTTTAACATGTTGTGGCGGATATTAAGGACCATGCCTCTCACCCAGCAGACGGGGCTTTTGGGGGTGAGTTGACATTAATTTTTGCAATGCGAGAGATTCACTTGTTGGCAGTTGTGGAATAAAGACATGTTTCCAGTCAGTCGTGTGTACTGCATTAGTACTGCCACATTGGTGACCCCGGCGTCGAATATGTTTTGAGCAGCGGACGAAGAGGTGTCTTCCTCGGCCATATTGCCCCAACTCCTGCAACTGGCAGCCGTCGCCGCTACTGTGAGGCTGCTGGAGTTCTGGCAGACCGACCCGGCTTCCTGGTTTCAGAATGTAAAAGCACTTTTTCACATATGAGGAATCATTATCAATGAGCTGAAGTATTGCATGGTCTTGGTGGCCCTGGACCGACTGACTACACGTGGAGTTATGCAGCTCTTCTGTACACCTCGACCGAACGGGAAGTACGATGCGCTCAAACTGCTTCTGCTCAGGAGGTTCAGTTTGTCGGACTCAGAGAGAGCTGAGAGACTCCTTTCCCGGTTGAGTGATGTTACGGCAATATATCTCCTGAAAAAAAATTTTGTCGCTCTCAGGCTCGAATGAGGGCAGATTCCTTTTCCCGCACATTTTCTACGACAGCTATCGCATCCTGTACGCGCGGTGTTAGTGAACTCCGCTCGTCTGGCGGACGGCGATTATCTGGGCTTGGCTGAAGAAGCCGATCAAGTTCTGCTGGCTACAAGGCAGTTCATCGTGCAGAGTGTGGTGGCCGATCCCCTCCTGGAAGCGACACGAGATGCGGACCCGACAGTGGTGGCCACGGTGGTCGCATGGAAGTGGCACAAGAAAGGCCTTCTGCTTCTTCCACCAGCGGTTTGGCGCCAAGGCTCAGCATTGTGTAACCCCTTACACCTATGAGGCTCCAGGAGACTTCAATATGAAAATTGTTTTCCTGTCACCCCAACGAATACATTTCAATGACGACTCTTTTTTTCCTCTGCGGCGGGACTGTCATGTTGACTCAAACGGATCCCCTATTTTCAAATGCCACCCGATGCTGTTCCTCATGTCTCTTTGGCTACATCATGGCACAAACAATGGAAGGACGCTAGACCTTTTGTTAAACAATGTGTTGATGCAGATGACTGGTTCCCCTCTCCCTCTGACTTGGAGGCCTGCTTCTCTCCATCATTGCGTGCTTTTAAGCTCCCTTTACCATAACATGGAGACACTCTGCGAAGCATCTTCTTCATTCCAGACACCAACTCTTGGAGTAAAGATGAACTCTCCTTCAATAACCTTCATGCTGTCTCTTTGACACCTGATGATGTCTCACCACTCTTGGCTCAGGTGCCCACTTCACTCTGGGCCGACCTGTAGTCCCACCCTCTTTTGTGAGGCTCTGGCCCAGAGTCTTTCTTCTCTTGTACTGTCGCCAGGTTCTGCCCTTTTTCAATACGTCGACAACCTTCTCATTGCGGCCCACTGTCTCGGGAGGAGTTTGAGACAGACACTCTTTGTCTCCTCACACTGCCACTCTCTTGGGCCTCCCAAACGTGTCGGTCATAAAGTGCTCCTCTCTGTGAGGATGCTCTCATTTCATACTGTATACATCTTTTGCAGTCTTTCTCTTCCATGAGGCGAGAAGTCTCCACTTCGTTGCCCCAACATGCAGACCACCCACTGCACACCATCCAACCAGGTGACTACGTGCTGGTGAAGAACTTCAGACCCACGAACTGCATATATCGGCACTGGTTTGGGCCATTCCAAGGGCTGTTCATCACCCACACCACCGTAAAGGACGCTGAGAGGGCTACCTGGGTCCACGCCTCCCACTGTAAAAGAGTGACAAAGACCTCGCTTCAAGTCCCACAGCCCGTGAAAAAAAAAGATGAGGTGAAATCAGCGCTCCTCTACACCACGTGGCGTGCCAAGCCACCAACAACAGAGTGAGGTGAAATCAGCGCTCCTCTGCACAAAGTGGTGTACCAAGCCACCATGAAAGAAAAGACAAAGACATCATCAACGGAAGTGCTGAGGCATCCTCCTCGGCTACACCACAGGACGACACGGCCCGTACACCCTAATGTCTGACCAAACCACTGTCAAAAACCCAGATGAACCCTGACAATTACCAACCCGATATGCACGGTTTACAGAGAACCTGTCTCCTTACTCTCTTAGTCATGATACAGTGAAACAACGAAATCATGTTTGCAGCAAGAAATTTTTCACAACAGAGGGTTTTTCACTGTAGCAAAATTTGATGTCAGATGTCAACACACACACACACACACACACACACACACACACACACACAACACACACACACACACACACACACACACACACACACACACACACACACACACACACAAACGTACGTGTACTCTTTATTTTTATTCCAATGATGCATAAGTATGAGCACACACTTATTCGACACTTCATATAGTCAGTGTAGAAAGAAAAAAAAAGGGAAAGAGAAATTTCTTGGATAATGTATTTTATTTTGCTTCCTCCGTCTTTCATTTTGATCACTTTTACCCTCTCTTCCAGCGTCAGAGCGCTTCTTGTCTTAGCTGCTTGACATCCAAAGGTCCGTTTTGTAGCCATTTTAGCAATGCAACGTTCATGCTGCGTCTGAATCTAACAATAACAACTACTTCCTGGATCCGGTGGCTTTTCTTTCCACCATCTCACTGTATCTAACTCGACCTCCCCTCGATCGCCACCCAAGACAGCATCGCTCAGCTGATGTCCTGCAATGAACATTTAAGCCACGGGGACGCTTCGTAGTCCTCGATGGCCATAGTTAGCGTGATGAAACTTGTCTTCTCTCTAATTAGCGCTCCAGTTAGTGGAAGGTTTTTTGCATGATAACAAGTAAAGCATTCCAGGAAACGTTTGTTTATTTGATTGTACGTCGAGCCACAAGCAATTTACTCTGAGCAGCTAATCGGATGCATTCCATGGATCTAGCTACAGTATCTACACACATAGATAGTGAGGTCCCTCTTGGCCAATCGGATGCCAGGATGATGCTTGGTAAGCCAATGGCAGAGCAGCTATGAGTATGTTACATTCAGGAAACTCTGAGCTGTGAACGAAACCACTATTCCAGTAAAACTCATGCTATTAGAGTCACTTACATGTCGCCGTTTTGTATCCAATGAGAGTAAATAGCGGCGCAGACAGACTTATACCGTACTATCGAGCGGGACTTGCTTGTGTTTTCGCCACTGCATGCTTCTGTATGGCTCCCGGGTTCCGGGTAGTGGAAATTCCGGTGTTATGAATTGATCGTTAATGTAACATCGTAGTCGACATTTTAATGCATCGGTTTTTAGTTTTAGTTTCCTTTTGAAAGAACTCCGTAGATGGGAATATTTACTGTAAACCAGAGTGGTGATTGCTGTTGCCGTTTCTGAACAAAGCGAGGTCGCGAGGCAAGAGCAGAGAAAAAGATTTTGTATAATGCAGGGGTTTTTTTCATTGTATGGGGGGCAGGAGAGTGGGAATGTTGTTAATACATGAAGATTTTTTCACACTAGGAGGTATTTTCGCCCATGTAGGTTTCGTTGTAGAGGAGTTTCACTGTAATCGTGTTCCCCATCCAAACCATTTCCTCGGTTGGCCTCACAGAGATAAACGCTACCCATTCCGTCTCCCCACCCAGTGTTTATCCTAACATTCCCCAAACCCTTGTCCCGCTGTCACATCAACACACAGACTGGGCGGCCGAATCACATTCCGGTAAAACCGATGGTAACTCCTGGTGGAACTTTGTTATTAAGGCC